TGGCAATGAAAATATTCACGCCCATTCACGCTTACCACTAAAAAAATTTCGACCCGACCCGCCCGCTCACGAAAAGAAATATTTTGATTCACGCCCGAAAATTCACGGTGTTTTTAAATTTTTCAAAACTTTAATGCTATAATTTTTTACACTTTTTTGAATTTATTTCTTTAATTCCATAATCCATAATAACAAAAAATAAATACATATTATAAATCTAAATTTTTACTATGAAAAAGAAGAATTTCTATTTTTTTTATTTCAATTGTGTTCGCCTTTCATCTAATAGGCGATTGGCTACAGAAAATAACCTTTTACTAGAAGCCGAATTTGTCAGGGCTGACAAAATTTTACTCTCTAATTTTCTCAAAAGGAAATAAATTTTCCTGCTTCCAAAACTTCAATATTTTGTCATTGTTATTTGTTTTATGGGATGAATCTTTTAAATTCACACAGCTTTCATCGGTAGATGTTGATGCTTCATCAGAATTATCTAAAAATATGTTTCATTTAAAATATATTGTTTTTTTTATGAATGTAGGATGAATTAGGAAAGTTATATTTCTTTGTCTTGAAACTTAAGGCTTTTGAAATTAAGATCTAGAATTAAGCTTACCTTAAGTGCTTGAGAATACATTTTAAAGTTTAAGTAAAAAATCTCGCGACAAAACACCTAAACATAAAAAGAAAATAGAACTAGGAGCGTGACACCGGATGTTGTTTATAAAATTCCGGAATATCTAAAAATTTGAATGGGGGGTACTTTAAAAAAAATTTTATTTAATTCTTTTATTGTTTTACTATACCCATCCATAACCAAGTGATTTCTGGTTTATGATATAGGACTCGACCTAGTGATTCCGTATACATATTAAATTAAATTATAAATGGGGGTCTTATTACATTTTAATAAATTTTGGTCGATGTTTAGCAAATTAGGTTGATTTCTTGTCATAAAATTATTTTATCAATTTCAAAATATGCCTAAAAATATTAACCAAAATAATACAAATCCTTATTTAATAACACATGGCATAATATAAGAGATTAAATTCTTACTACCTCATATACTGCCAAAACTTCTTAATACCATGAAAGATCCATTTCTTAATAATTTAACCATTTTATCAATGAATTTTTTTTTTATCTAAATTAAATAATGATGATTAGAGGTGGACGCGAGCCGTGAAATTACACGTGACACATCGTGTTACGGTGGGTCACGGCGTGAGTGTGAATAAATTTTAAATTATTAGGCGTGACTGGGAGTGACGGCCTTCCCAAAATTTTTTCCGGGCGTGAACATGAATCTCCCGTGAATCACGGAAATTTTAATTTTTTTTTATAAATATAAATTTGCAATTTTATAATTAAAATACATATTTTTTAATTTAATGTTTTTTTTTAAAAAAGAAAAAATTTTAAAAACAAAAAATATTCCGGCATTTTATAAACAGCATCCGGTGTCACGCTCCTAGTTCTATTTTCTTTTTATGTTTAGGTGTTTTGTCGCGAGATTTTTTACTTAAACTTTAAAATTTATTCTCAAGCACTTAAGGTAGGCTTAATTCTAGATCCTAATTTCAAAAGCCTTAAGTTTTTAATAGACGAAGAAAAGGAAGATATTTACAAAATAATCTTAAAAATGTAAAATGATATAAAATTAGATGATATGCATAAGTCAATGCCAACAGTTATTTATAACTTTCCTAATTCATCCTACATTCATAAAAAACCATATATTCTAAATGAAACATATTTTTAGATGATTGATGAAGCATCAACATCTACCGATGAAAGCTGTGTGAATTTAAGAGATTCATCCCATAAAACAAATAACAATGGCAATATTTTGAAGTTTTGGAAGCAGGAAAATTTATTTCCTTTTTTGAGAAAATTAGAGAGTAAAATTTTGTCAGCCCTAGAAAATTCGACTTCTAGTGAAATTTTATTTTCTGTAGCCAATCGCCTATAAGAGGAAAGGCGTACACAATTGAAATAAAAAAAATAGACATTCTTCTTTTTCTAAGTAAAAATTTGGATTTATAATATGTATTTATTTTTTGTTATTATGGATTATAGAATTAAAGAAATAAATTCAAAAAAGTGTAAAAAATTATAGCATTAAAGTTTTGAAAGATTTAAAAACACCATAAATTTTCGGGCGTGAATCAAAATATTGCCTTTCGTGAGCGGGCGAATCGGGTCGAAATTTTTTTAGTGGTAAGCGGGCGTGATTATTTTCATTGTCACATTTATTTTTTTACATTTAATATTAAAACCATTTTTTCGAGTATTTAATGATTAAAAGCATAAAAGTAATACATATTAAATATCTTAAAAAATATTATTTTCTGCTGCCAGCCAGGCGGCAAAAAAATATAATTTAATTGTTTTTTAAAAAAAATTCCGAATCCGCTAAAACATTTTTTTTTAAAATTATTTTTGTTATAAATATCTGAACCGTAACCGAACCGATATAATTATTTTTCGAAGGAGTAAAAAAAAAACCTTTATAAAAAACGGTTAAACCGGTTTAAACCGGTTCAATTTTTATATTTTAGAAATGAAAATAATTTGAATATCCAGAATTATATAAACGCATAGTACTAGCGGTTCCCGCAACACAAGTATCTGTAGAAAGAGCTTTTTCGGGGCTAAAATTTGTGTTATCGTCACAACGAACAAAAAGGAATACATTTATACTTGAAAATATATTACTTATAAGTTCAAATCATTTTTTTAAAAATGAGTTATTTTGAATCTTATATATTTTTTTTATATATAATTCATAGATGCTTATAATAAAAATAAATTAAAAGATGGTGTTGCTTCAATAAAAAAATTTTTTTAACCGTAATAAATCTTTATAATTAGCTGAACCGAACCTTTATAAATTTCTTCTCAAGTACTATAACCAATTTATATACTCGACCGTAACCAATCTGAACCGTTATAAATAACGGTTCGGGTCCCTGCTTAAATGTTCAACGAAATGCCATATTGCATTGAAATTGGCAATAATTCGGATTTTTTATAAATATATTTTTTAAAACAAAAAAGTTTTAACCTCATCCCTTTTCATTCATTATATGCCTTAATTTTATACTATTTACTTTTTTTAAAATTCTTATTTTAAATCCCTTATTTTGGAATTATATGGTGCCAGCCGCAAAAAAAGAGAAGAAAAAGTAATTATATTATTTTATTTTTTTTTCATGGGGATTCGGAATTTTTTTTAAATAAAAAATATATTTTAAAAAAAAGATACCGAATAAAACGTGGGGATTTAAGATCTTGAATCCCCACGTTGGGATTCCGAATCTCACATGATTCCATATCCCAATACGACATATATATTAAAAATTTACATATAAATAAATCTAAGTTAAAAATGAATATGAAAAATATTTAAAAAAAACAAATATATAAAATTTAAAATAAAAAAAATTAAAATGAAAGAATACTTTTCGGGCCAACAATTTTTAAAAATTAAATAATTGGAAGAATTATTTTGATAGCAATGTTTTGTTTGAGTTTATAAGAAGAAGAGATATGTGTTTTTTTTCCTTATGGATTTGGAAACCATTTACAAATATTTATAAAATTTTACGACACCACTTCAATCATAAATTAGTTATTTAACACTTGACAATGATCTAAATTAAGAAAAAAATTCAAATTGTGGATAATACCAAGCGTCCACACGCTAACTTAACTTGGGTTATTTAGTTATTCCATCGATTTTTAATGTAAATTATAAATTAATTAAAGGTTAAAGGTAAAATTATCTACAATTCAGTAGATAGGTATTTTAAACATGCTGAAATATATTTCCGGTTAAATTAATAAAAAAAGCATCAAAAAATTAAGTTGGAAAAATAACACAATGCCGGAAAAAACACATAGCCGCTAACATATATGCATATTACTTTAAAATATTGGAATTTTTCAAAATTTATACCATTACAAAGCAGACGATAAAATTTAGTTTGCAAAAACTCGAAATATCTAAATGTTTGAAAATGATATTTTGTAACGCTCGATTTGCTTGCTCTATACTTATATAATAATTTAAAAGATAGTGTTTTGTTTATATATAAATTTGTTTTAATATTATAATAATAAATCTATAAAATATTATTTATCTGTGACTGCATAAAAAAATTTAATAAATCTATTTTTAGAGTATGAAAAAGAATATATAAATTTATATAGGATTGGATGGACACGGAAAATTATTTATGAACTCTAATTTTAACGATGAAACCAGGAGTGCCTAAATATATTAAAATATACATTAAATTGAAAATTAATTTTATTTATTAAAATTTTACAATTTGCACCTCTGTGTCGTCAATTTCTATAAAAGAACAATAAACGCTACTAAGCCCACATATCTACTCTATTTATATATTTTTTATATTTTATGTTATTAAAAGGTCATTTTGGGAGTAAAGCGCTTTTTTCAGCAGGTTTGTTCAATGTTTTTCAGAAATTTGTTTGCCATTTCAACAACACATGCGAGGAGGAAAACTATGAAGATAATAATTTTTATACCGATGTAGATTCCAAGTAAAATATATATTCATAAATTATTAAAGTTTATATATGACGCGAAGGTGTGACCGTACAACTTTTTTCGCATAAATTTAGGACAAACTATATCTAAAAATAATTTAAATTTTCTTAACTAAAAAGAAGTTTGAATATGATTTTTTAAATTTATATTTGTCTAAATGAGATGTTAAATCCAGAGAATTAAATATGTGATTTTTATAATTTAAAAGTCAGATTAGACCAGAAATGAATATTTCAGAATGTATTGAGCACCCAAACTGTAACAATTTTTCTGCGAACTTTTAAACTCTTCTTAATTTTTATATCAATTCTTTTATATTTATAGAATACAAAAAATTTAATGCCGAAAATGAAATTTATAGGGTAGATATATTTATATCAAATAAATATTTTAAAAAATGCAAAGTATTATTAAATACACACAAATATTGGGAAAATACATCACAAAAAGTACATATAAAGAATAAGTAGCTCTTATAAGACTAATGTAAGTGTGACTCAATAAATTTCAACCCATTTAATATAAATAACATTAAATAACCAAATTATTAGCGCAACTTCAAAAAAATACTAATATAAAACAACATCAACTATAAATTTATTGTTTGTTCTCATTTCATTATACATCACAAAAATAATATTCATCACATCTAATATTATTTAAGAATATATAAACACAAACAAACTTAAAAATATAATTGCATTTTTGTCCAGGCAAGGAAATCAATGGTTTAGGAAGACCCATAGGGTGGTCTGTTTAACCCCATGCTTGAAGCTTATTGGATAAAATACCACTTTTACAAAGAATGAAATTTAAAAAATAATAATAAGATATTAATAAATAGTAATAATGTCTATTAATCGTTGTATATATTTATTGGTATATATTAGTTCCCAAGTATATTTGAAACCTGGCCTCTCCTACTATATATAGTGTTTAATAAAATTTCTGGTCAAATCAGAAATTTAAAAATTGACTTCAGAAAATAACAAAAATGAAAAGATTTTGAATCCCGATGGATTACATATTACAATACGACATATTAATTGTATGATGATAAAATCCTAAACTGATTCTAACCCAAAAAGCTATTTTTAAATAAATATAATTATTATATTAAAACAAGTTTTCAATCAAGCCCAAAGTAATAATAAAAAATATCCCAATAAAATATATTAAATTAATAAATTTTTATTTAGGGGTTTTGAAAGTATATATGATTGGAACCAAGATAAAAATTGTAATTTTATTGTTAAATATATATATAGAATAAAATATTCATTTATACGTCTTACTAGTCTTACCAGTTTGTTAATGCGCATATATAGACATTTCTCTTTAAAAATAAAATAATTCCAAAGGTTTAAATATTTACATCCCCACCCCCCTTCTTCAAAAATCAACTCTTCTCGCTATCATCTAAATTAAAATTATTTGGGAAATATTTATATTGTTACCCAGAATTATGTTGGCTATTAGAGATATTGAATATTATATGTCAAAAGACACAAGTGGAACTAATAGCTTTACTGACTCGCTTTCTATAATATTGTCTGAATTTGCATTATACGAGCCTAAGACTTATGGTAATTTAATTATATATATTTCAAATTTCAAAATAAAATTAGTAGTAGAAAAATCATTCTAAAAATTTTATTCTTTTTATTCTATTTTTTATAGCAGATTTTTAACCAAAATTATATCGCTTCTGTAGAAATAATAGAAAATTTTTGATAAAGAGCATATTTAAAAAAATTTTTTTTAGTAATTAATTTAAATAATGGTTTTAATTTGTTTAGATTTAAATTTTTTTATTAAATTTTTAATGACTGGAAAATTATAAAAGCAAGGAAATGTATTAAAGTGCATTCCCTTAAATTATAATTTACATTCTCATATGTATAAATACGCAGATTTCTGTTTTATAATCTTTATGATATTTATAAAAAGAGAGGAACTTCACGGACCCTTTATTAATAGGAAAACAAACTCCGGAACCTATATCACCTAACAAGAGTTCATCTAGTAACCTGGTAATTCTTAATATTTAGCATCGAAATAGATTTTATGTAGAGGAAACTAATATTTCCTATTCTAAATTGGCTTTCGGGAAACATAGACCCTTTTTTAATTTGTTAAATTAATGCCTTATGCACTTAGTGAAAAAGTTTATGTTTCTAACATGAGCCCCTTTGTACAACCTTGTACTAATCTTAAGTTTTTTCGAATATATCAATGTTGAAGTCACTGTTTTTTAAAAAAAGCTTGATATAAAAAACACCGTTCGCTTTACAAATTTATTTTTGTTTCACAGAGAGTACAACTCGTTGGCATCACCTTTTAGAGTGAACAATAACTTTTTATTTTTTCCGAAGTTATAAAGCTCATCATTATCTTAAATGAAATTTACTTCTAAAAATATGGCAGAAATGTTTGACCATAACTTGATTTAAATAATGTTTTTGGGTGAAAATCTTTAATGTTTTACTGACAATTTTTACTCAACCCTGCTCATATAATTGAATAGAAGCATGGGAACTTTTTACATAAATATGGCTGGGCCTTAAATTTGTTTAAGAGTATTTGGTAGCAAAGTAAATAATAGTACAAAATTGAGGTGGAGAACTTATAATAATTAACTAGGATATCATGGTATTATTAGCCTGGGTCTAAGCCTTATCATTATTTGCTGGAGTACTAAACTGTAATGGTTAATTTTTTACCAATATATAACTATTTCATATGTGGCCATAAAAAGAATTAACAATGAATCACATATAAAAAATTTATATCACAATATATTAATTTACCCTTTAGACGTAATTTTTTTAAACGCTGTAATTTTTCAAAAATATTAAATAACAGAAATTAATTCCTATCAAATTTGTATTTTGTTTATTTCATTTGGATAGGCACTACCAAATTTATTTATAATATATATTTGAAAAATCATGATTTTTGGAAAGCCTCTGTGGCCTAATCGGCAAGAGCGACGCTTACCAATCCGATTGAGTTCGAATCCCGGCAATGATCATGTTTTTTTTCTTCTAACTTGGTGGTTCCGTCCTTGGGGGGTTGATATATAGGAGGCCGGACTCCACCATGTGATTCCGTTACAATATATTAAATAATAAGTGTCTTATTACATTTTAATAAATTTTGATTGGTATTTAGCAAATTTGGTTGATATTTAGAAAATTGCTATACGTTGACTTGCTAGTAAGCATCATTAACCAATTATTTAATAAATTATCTTATATAAAAGATTAAAACCTAAAAACGTATAACCACTAAATCCCCAAGTTTAAAATAGCTAAAACATCCAATAAAACGTCCTCAAAAAATGGCCGCTATTTAAATAATGGACTTTTGAATCATATGATATTATTAATCTTATTCCTTTAAAAATGTAAATAGTAAATATGTTTTGAGAAGAATAATGTGTAATGTTTGGGAAACGTCATGCCATTTAATTCTATAGGAAGTTTAATGGTGCTCTTAATGAATGGGCTATTCAAAATTAGAATGTATTAGGGAAAATAAGTGCTAGCCTTATATTCAGTTTTATCTGTGTTCTTATGCTTAGCCATTATACAAAATTAATAAGATTTATATTTTAAGTGTAATTAATTAATTTTAGATTGATTAAGTATTCATGCCAATTCCTTCCCAAAAACTATAACCCTTATTTTTTTGAATGCTATTTGTCATCAAATCAATGTGTAAAAAATAATTGATGTATTTTAATTTTTTTTTTAAAGTTTACTGTATAATTTTAAAGTACTAAATCACATAGTTGCTTATCCCCTTTAGTTTATTCAAATATGTACCAAAAATGTCATAAATATATTTCTGTGGCTACCCATGCAAATTGAATTCATATAATTATGATTTTGAATGGTATATTAGGGATATACCGATATTTTTTATCGGATTGAATCGGGCAGATATTTCACCTTTTAAAATATCGGTTATCGGCCAATATTATAAAATTAGCCGATCCGATATAAAATGGCGTCTTTAACAAAAATAAAATGTTATAAATTTTTAAAAAAAGTTATATTTATAATCATTTATTTTTATTAATAAAATCGAAATCCATATTTTTTTAATAATAATAAATAATTTATAAACATTCTGCCATATTGTTAAAAATTGTGTGATAATCTCTTCAGAATCTGTTTTTAGTGAAGCTGGTGATATTGAAAGTTACCATCGCCGTAGTCTGATTTCTAATAAATTGGAAATTTTGGTATTTCTAAAAGGAAATCTTCGATATATTAATGATAATTATTATTTTAAATATTTATTCAAATTTCATAATATATTTGTTTATTACCTACTAGCTAATAACCCGTCAAGAATGACGGATTGTGGGGTAATTAGTTAGTTTTTCTCCCTAATTTTATGATAGTTGTTACCTGTTGTTTGAAAATAATATCTTTTTATTCTTTATAACCCCCTTCCTCCTTCAGGCCAGGTCCCCAGGCCTGCAAAATAATTTGTTTTAGGTCAATGTCTGATCCATAGTTGATAATAGAATTCCCAAGCGTCCAAGCTGATAATAATTTTGAAAAATTAGTCCAATATAATTCATAAAAATATTTTCCAAGCCCAGCCCCACCCATAATAATTTTAAAATTATTTTTCTCAAACCTGGCCAACGCATATTGAAATTTTTTTCTCAAGCCTGGAGATAGGTAAATCTCTATAAACATATTCATTTTTTATACTTTTTAATCCCGCTCAATCCTACTTCAGACCAAGACCAACTCATATACACTAATAGTAAATACTATTTTTTGAGTATAGCTTTTACCTGAGACACATATAAATATTATGCCTAATATCTAATATAAAAAATTCCCAACATGTTCATGCTCATAATCATGTTGAGAAAATTTTCTCAAGCCCGCCAAAGACCATAATAATTTTGGTAGTTTAACTGAAATAAAATATGTAAAAGTCATAATTCATTTAAAAATACAATCAGAATATGAAAGTTGCATGAGCCTTGGTTTTTTGATCAGGCCTAGCTGTCTGCAAAAATAAATTTTCAGACCAATGTCTAACCCATATTTAAAATTTTAAAATCTTAGCATCTCTATTTTATATTTTATCCAATATACAAATTTAAATTTTGATATTTCTAATACTCTTATTGCTCACTCTATTGCAACAATGTTACCTCTTTTTCTCCTAAATTTTAATATTTTTATAAAATTTATTAATAAAATATATTTAGTACCATACATAATTACCCTTCAACACCGTCAGCTAGTTATGGTAATAAACGGCAAAATTTTAAAAATATCAGCTACTAATTAATATATATATATAATTAATATTTTAAATTTAATTATATTCAAGTTGGTGCATGCGTAAAGCATACGCCTTTGAAACGGGAGGTTTGAGGTTCGACTCTCTTATATCAAAAAATTAACATTACATTATATAGTCTCCTTAAATTTTAAATACATTAGGCAGATACGAAAACGATCGTGTTTTGATTATGGAGATTATATATATTAGATTATGTATATAGATTAATGTTGTTACTTATTATATAAAAGTGATTTAACAATAAAAATATTTTATATACTTTTCAAATTGCAATAGAATTGAATATAAACTATAATATAACTGATTATTATAATATATTTAAATGACATAAGTTATGGTATAATAAAATTATAGATGTTATACTAACAAAAAGTAAAACCATTGGTAACTTTACAGAATACAAAATTAGATATGATATCGGATAGGTAATCGACCGATATCAATTTAATATCGGATCGTATCAAATCTGCCTCCAAAAGTGATATCGGTACACCCCTAGTATTTATATAGCATCAAATTTTCGTACAATAATATATTATTGTCTAATATTCATAATTTTTTTAATATTATGATCTCAATTTTATTCAAATTAGATAAAATTTATTATGAATTTTAAAAAACAAATGCTAAATTATATCTATTTATATTTATTTACTGGAATTAAATTGAATATCCTTTCAATTATTCCTTGCTTGATGGTTAGTTATGAGAATATAAGATATAACATTGTAGGTTCAGCTGATGGAACTTCTATAAGCCCAATTATGAAGTAATTAATATTTTATTCAAAGTACCATAAAGTTATCAATTAGTATATTCAAAGTACCTTAAAAACTTGATTATCAAGAAGTTAATTTTTTTTTATTTTATACTTGCAACATAAAATATATTTTTATATCTTTGAATTTATTTTAAAAGCTTAATTTTTCCATAACTTTGTCAGTCCAGTTAGGCCTGTTGTGAATACTTGTATCTACATTTCATTTGTATCTTATTCTCTGTGTCTTTTTAACAATTTTTATAAGATACTATGTTTATATCTAAATACTTTATTTTCAAAAGAATATTTCTTGACAAAAGATACAGACATTATTTATACTTTTGCATAAAAAAGTTAGTATTTATTTTTAACATTTTCTCATAGATCCTGCGTTAATTTTAAGTTTTCTTTCTTTACTATTTTTATATTTTACTAATTTGCAAAATAGTCGGATGAAATAATTTTTAAAAATTTGATTTTCTAAACAAACTTAATTTACAAAAATAAAATAAATTATATTAGATTGATGTGGTATGGCAAAAAAATTTGTTGATATTTACAAATTTTAGAGGAGTCAAGAAATCCAGTCCGTTCTACCCCGATCTTCCTAATTGTGAAATTTAAATTTGTTCTTTGTTTTTACCGTAAAATAATACTATATCGAAATTGTAAGATGATAAAATTCAATAGCCCTCTTATAAAAAAACTTTAAAAAAACAGTAAGGGAGATCGAGGAGCATGCTAACCCTAGAAGGCAAACTCAATAAATTAAAACTACTTGATAATATTGAATAACTAGTATCCCATTTTCCAATTTTACTTTTATCCCATTAAAATTTTTTTTAAAAAAACAATATTAATTTTTCTGAAATTTTTTTTTGGGAAAGAATGAGCTGCACCTGGGGCGGACGAGCTTTCCCATGAGGGGCTATTGAGCTGCTAATACTAATTACTTTTAAATATAAAAGTGATTTGCAACTACTTTATTGATAAAATTAAGCCATAATGAAAAATTATAAAAATAAATTAAATTTATTGACAATTTAAACAAATAAGAATGAAAATTGCAATAGGATTCATACGAAAAAGGCACATTTACATGGGACAAAAACATTTTAGAGCATTTATTAGATAATATAATATAGTTTCTTTCATTTTCTTAAATTTGTCTTAATGACAATTTTCAATCTTGTTGTTTCATTAACCTTGATTTATATTTTTTTACAGTTGTATAACCATTGTTTTCTGACGAATTTCCAAATTTATTAATGATCTCAACCTTTATTAGTTGTTTCTTCTTTCTAATGTGATTTCTTACCATATTCAAATTTCAATGATCAAAAATAAATTATAAAAATAACGCTAGAAAATCTCATATAAACCTCTGAAAAATAGCACAAGACCCTCAAGATTTTTAAAAATTTATTTTATGGTAGATTAAACATATTTTTTGTTGAAATAAATATTAATTTTATACAGAATAGGGTTTAATCTTTTCTTTTATATAAGATAGTGATTGGATAATTATAACCTTTATTATTTTTTATTTTTTATAAATTATTGAATTTAAAAAAGTTACTTTTTGAGAGTATAATTCATATATTGTGTTATAAAATTTTATATGATCCAATATTAAAAAAATTATAGTTACATATATATAAAGTAGTTATACATGTTTGGTTAAATAATTAATCATTAGAATTTAATATTCTAGGAAAAAAATTTCAGGGTTCACAAGAACCTCAGGCTCATAAGATATCCCCAGTCTCCCCTATCTTTTCCCTCTCCTTTAAGAATACAAATTAATATAATCTTTATATTTTGGGGATGATTTTAGTAAAAAAATATTACTTCTTCTCAATGTAATTTTCTCAAATCTTACACCTTAAATTTTTATTTTATATTTATTTTAGAAAAGAAAAATTCTAAATTTTGTACCCATCACAAACATGATGAAATTCATAGTTCCTCTAGGAAAAGTAATAATTGTAATAATTTATAGCCATTTATAATATAATAAAATAATAATTTTTTATTTTTATTATCAAACTAATGAAAATTTAAATAAATTAAATAATTATTTTCTTTACATTTTAGAAATTATATAATGAATGGCGAGAAATTTATTCATATTTCAAATTCGATTATGACACGATAATTGTTTTTATTGTTGATTAAATATACCACCCTTATTCATCTAAGTCTATCCGTTAAATTTCAACTTAAAAAACTAAAATTCAAGATATAATGTATAATATTTAACATATGGTAAAAGCCTGGTATGACTAGCACTTTATATGATGGCCATGGTTAATATTTATGAGTCCTAATTTTAATAATAAAGATATTAACATTACTTGCTTAAATATTATTTATTTGCAAAAAATATTATAATATATATTGTATAAAATAAAGCTTGAAATTTAAGTTCAGTAATTATTTCTTTTTATAATGACCACTTTTCTATTTTGAATAGTGAACAAAATATTTTTACATACAGTAGTAAAATTTCTATAATGTGACCATTTGATAAAATTTAAAAAAAAACATCATATGCCCAAAAATCTTTCAAATATATTATGATTTATTTACTGTCAAATACAACATCAGTTATACAATAACTAATTCAAAAAATATATTTTTTTTAAAGGATTTTAAATAATTTCCAGATTTGTAATAGAACTTTATAATTTAATCCACAACTTTACTATTATAAGAAAAATATAAGCGGCTTTTTGGATAAGTTAGGCGTGTGGGATAAAATAAAATAATGTTTATTTATTGAGTGTTTAAGAAAGCAGGATAGATATTTTGGAGATTGATAATATTAGTGCCAATTATATTTTTATACCTTCCACCGCTAGAATCATTTCACTTCAATATGAATCAATTTAAATATGGATAATACTTGACCACCTACAAGGTTAAAAGATGTTTTTAATATATTGGAAGATCATTATGAAAATATAAAAGAAAAATATTCTAAGCCTCATATTGAGTTCCGATAGTGATTCGGTAAGTAAAATCAAACCTGAGTTACTTTCAAAGGAAGATATTTAAAATATACTGTTAATAAAATAATTTGCAGAAAGATGTTCTGATATCTTGCTTACATTTATGGCATTAATTTTTTTCTAATCAATTTCATAAATAATACGAATAAAAACAATGTACATATATTTACTTCTAAATATTGGATATAAAATACATATTTTATATTATGAATGTATTTCATTTACAAGGTGTTGTAAAGTTAATTTTGAAACGTAACTGGTTACAGTTACTAGTTTATTTCGTAATATAACTAGTATATAGTTATAGTTCAAAAATAATTTGTTACATAGGAAAGGCTTTTAAAAATTTATTGCGTCTGTTGTGCTGGGTCTTATTTTTATAAATTTTATAATTGTAATGCTAAAAAGGGGTAGGTAAAAAATATATTTTTTTTTTAAATAGGAGTAATAAAATTAGTATAGGTTCTCTTTAACAAAAACATTAGGTAATCTGATAAATTCTTAAAAGGCTAACCAAAGCACTGATCCGATTTTAATACCAGCACATCTTAAATAAGTTAATTAGTCAATCAAGCGATATTATCTGCCGTAGCCCAATAGTAACTAGTTTTATCAATTTTTTTTCATTAAACATGGCAATATTAATATCTTATTTTATAATTTGAAGCCATAAGATACTGTTAAAGTAGGCAGGGAAGTTGTTTTGTTAACTATCAATTATTTATTAAAGCAAATATATATATCTCTAAATTCACATAATGATATATCTATTTATATATTAATTTGCGAAGTTTTGTCTCTAAATAAAAAAAGAAATAAGATTAAAAAATAAATATATTAATTTTGAAACATTAACATATTCTTTATTCATGAATCATGACTATTAATTATACCATAATAAATTATACAGTAAAACATTAAGATAATTAAAAGATAAAGAAAAATTAAAAGTACAGGGTTAAAAGGAAAATACATTCAAAATAAAATACTTTCCCAAAAATTAGAAAGTGCTCTAATATTCTCTTAATTATATATCTTTTTTCTTAAATAATCATTTACATAATCATTTACATAATCTGTTAAATAATATATAATTTGAATAAGCCATTTCTTTTTTATTTAAAAGTACATAGGAAACCATTTGAATATGACATTTCTTGTTTAACTGAATATTACAACACCCTTCCACTTAAATTAGACCCACCATTCTGCTAATGACTCTTCTTTAGATTTAGACTTTAGTGATCTTGTATCTCCACCATCTATTCTTCTTAATTTAATAGCTTCTAAGTTCTAAAGATGGATGTTCCTTGTCTAGTATTCTTAGTTCTAACGACACTTTGTATCCGGTTACAACTTGAAATTCTTAAATTCTATCTTCTGTTGCTTGTCAAGCCATGGTAAACGTTTAACTCTTTATCTCAGTAAGCGATTGACAAAACAGATTAACGCTTGTTTTTCAAAGATTTACCATTTCTAGTCAACGATTATCAATTGATACTATTCTTTCTTTAAAATCTTTGTTTCTTCCAAAGCCTGTTTTAAATTCCTTTGATAAATTACCCAGTCTTTGCTTGTTTCTAACGTTCTCTTGTAACTAATGATTAGCCTATCTCGGTAAACGATTGACGATAATTTGTCTGCCATTAAGATTGTTTCCACGAATTCTTGTTCCTATGATCGTCGACTTCCGTATTTTATACTAAAGTTTCGGTAAACAATTGGCGATATTGGTAAGCAAATAACGATTGCAGCATGAACGTCTAGAACATTTGTTCTATTTAGACTCTTGTTTCCAAAGTTCTCTTGATTTATTAGTTCTTTTTATCTACTTCTTGTAATCGTATAGAGATCTTTTTGACTTCCGCTTCTTCTACGACAGTATGCATCTGCTGATATATCAACTTTGTCTTAAGGTCTCTTTATTCTCATTTGATCTTTGTCTTAAGGTCTCAGGTAATCGCATCTAATCTACTTTTACCTAAAATAATCATTCAGCCCTTTATAACTTCTGAAATATTTTATCACTTTTTCTTACATTTATTCTCAAATTTAAAATACATAGTCTAAATACATCAATAACTATCTAACTTAGAAATATTTGCTCACTTTTTCCTCTAAATTAAATCTTAAAATTATAATACATAGTTAAATTATCCTAAATATATTATACCATTATGTCAAATTCTATTACTCCTTTACCCTCATTGAAACCCAGATCCATATCTTCAGTGAGCCATTTGCAGGTATTCGACCTTTAGCTATCAATCCACATCCATTTAAATCTAAAATTCTCTTATCTTGAATCTAAAAATCTTATTTCTAAATTTTTACCCCAAAAAATATTTTTTTTATTCTTCTGCCATTACCCATTTATTTCATTTTACTAATGTATTCTTGTACCCGCATGTTCTTTTAAGCAAAATCAAATATCTATTTCTTTTTTTTATGCGGTTAACACCCATTGTTCACAAACAATAGGAATAAATAATATTTATCTTCTTCTTTTTAGTTCACTCTCGTTGTTGAAAAATACTTAAATATGTTTATCATCAATTCTAACCCAAAATATGATTCTCATAACTCTATCAGACGTGTTAAAAAACAAATCAATTATGTCTATCATTAATTTTCAACACAACAAAATTATGATTCTCATAATTCTAGCACAACTTGTTTATATTTCTAAGGCACTTTTTATTAGTGTTGTTAAATGGCTCGTTTTGAGCCAATTTTTAAAAACGCCTACTCAATATTTTAGCCAGAAAAATATTGCCTAAGTCTTGAGATTTCGATAATATATGTATAGGCCTTTGTTCCTTCTATGAGCAAAGTCTTCAGGCTTGCGTAATATTTTTCTGGATGAAGTATTGAGTTTGTCGTTTTTAAAAATCGGCTCAAAACGAGCCGTTTAACAACACTAATTTTTATTTCACAATTATATATCACTATTTTACACTCAAATTCTTCTTTTTTAAATAATTCTCATACTTTTTTTTTCATTTTAAGCTCTTTTAACTAGTCTTATTTTATTTAATTATCAAAAAAATAATTTTCTCTTCCAAAATATTTCGTATCCATATCATTATCAAAAATAATTATTTCTTCATTCTGCATGGATCTTTTATCTAAAAGCTCGGTATTTTTCCATATTTTTCGCTTGTTTATCTTACTGATATTATATTAAAATAATGCATAATTATTCTTAAATCTTAATGATCCAAAATAAAATTCCGATATCTAATTGAGCTCGATTACGGCATAAATTTTTTAATGATGAAAGTTGTTTCTCTAGATGAAGATTTTTGGTTAATTAACAACCGAATATTTTACTAAATATTAATAACTTGGTATCTTATTCCCATATCAGATCATTGAGGCTGTTTTTTCTCTCGCAGCGCTTAAATGAAAGTATCATAAAATTAGAATTTAATTACAACATCAACATATTATCTAACAATAAATGTATGTCTCTATATTCTTCGAATTTTTTAAATTATCATATCTTTTAAGCAAACTATTTGTATTCGAGTCTTTAATTTTAATCTTAGCATAATTTCAATTATAATATATTTTTTTGAATAAATTTTAATCTACTTGTCATAGTAACTAGTGATCAATTATTTAATAACTTATAATAATTTCAAAATCTAAAATATCTTATAGTCTAAATTAGATTCAGTTGGTTTCTAAGTTTATAAATGCTACCTTTATAATTCTTTGTTAAGATAAATATATTCTACACAATTTTGTATCTTAACAATATTTACAACAATAGTCCGAAATTTAAATGAGCTACCGTAAAATAATTTCTTTCTTTTTCAACCCACATCTTTAAATTTTGACTTAAATAACTCTAAATATCTTCCTTATTCAAAGTAAAATACTTTCCCAGAAATTAAAAAGTGCTCTAATATTCACCAAATCTCAATAATTCTATTCTTAAAAATCATTTACATAGTCTGAATTAAATAATATCGATAATTTGAATTAGCTTTCTTTTTTGTTTAAAATTACATTTGAAACAATATGAATAAGATATTTCTTGTTTAACTGAATGTTCATTAGAATAATAAAAATTAATAATATAAAATGTAACAAGGTTTCATTTGTTAATTTAATTGAAAATATTTGAATATCTACATGCATGTATGTTAGTAAATAGCAACATATGTCAAATTTAATTTAATATTATTAATAAATTATTACATAAATTAATATATTCAATATAAATAAATTACATTACATGAAAAATATATACGTTTCTGGCTATGTACATGTGCTAGGCTGAGCGTCGGGTAAGATAAGGAAGGCAGACGAGAATTTTATCGGTTACAATACCAGGACGCTGAATATGTTAATGGACAGCCCATAGAGTTACAGTTAGAGCTTGTATATACACATGCCATCTCAGGTGTGATTGAGCCTGTTTTTACCATTCCCTAAAATATAAAAATTTTGATTTCTTGAATAATGCTTTCTTATCTCTTGAAAATTATCAATATTTAATTTTAACTTTTTTGTTATTTATACTCATTTTTAAATTTAATTATTTGTAGTTGACAAACGTAGATTATTTGATCAAAAATGGCACATACGCCGCCAAATTAATCAGTGATCTTCAGAAGGACGACGAGAAGGTTCCGCCGGATTACTTAAAGTATTTAATCACATTTGCCCGGATATTCTGCAGCTCAAAGTTTGATTTGTTTGAGATAGAAAAAATCAAATATACTTCTATGGTAGAGAAACTTCATACGGCCGTCTTCAAGACTTCTTTGGATATATTGAAAATTAACGAATCAACAGGTCAAATAACTTTGTCAGAAGTTTATAAAAAATATTAGTGATAATAAATAAATAAATTAAACTCATCTATACAGTCACTTTATAATATAGAGTTGAAGGGACCGCCTCTTATTGTTAGCTTTATTGAAGTTTCTTTCTATTTTAAATATAATTTCAACATCTTTATTAATCCTAACAGAGCATCATTGTAACAAATTACTGTCCATATTGGAGTCCATTCCTGACCTAAATATAATGTGGAAAATAATCAAACCAATAATTATGGGCAAAATATTGTACACTCCTCGTAATAACGGTAAGAATTTCTAAGTATTTCATCGATTATAATAATTCTTTCAAATATAAGATTTCAATCAAACATATTTTATAATAAATCATCAAATTTTACCAATTCGTTTTATATTATTTTTGGTATTATGTATTTTTACCTTCCTTAAATCATCTTCTCTAGAAAAAAAATTAATGTAGTTATGGGCAAAATAAATATAAAAATGTCAATTAAATATATATTATTTATAAAGCCACCAACAAGATAATGTCTAATCTTAACTTAACGTTTGAGCGAATGGACTTCATCCACAAGTTTCTGAATGACTATATGTATTATATATCTGAAGCTACGCCTGAATGGCTTGGATTTTTTAAGGGGACTTTTAAACATATTACAAGTAAACTAAAGGAGTACAGTGTTTACATATCTCAAGTTTCGAATCTGATTGCTTGTTTCCAATTTAACAAGATAATCGGAGTTTCGACAGAAAATGAACTGGAAAAAGAGGCCTATAAGCTCATGCAAGATAACCGCTTCTATGCAGGCATAGTTTTTATTGACATGGATGACGATAACAAGAGTAAAATTGAATATAACCCTTACCCCCCTTCTAACTACAATATTTACGGGTTGCCATCTTTTGTAAGGTATAAGATACGAATGGATTCAGAGCGGGTCGACGCAACAAATACCATGCTTAACCTGATCGATCAAGTTGGTGCAAGACGTAATCCCTTGACAGATCTTAAATATTATTACCATGGATTCGTCATGCTTCAGGATCTAATAGATATAGCCATAATTGACGCTCTAACTGGAAACGAATATCGGGATGTTAAAGACATTCCGTTTATCAATGTTGTCGGGAACAAAAAAAACAAGAGGGAGAAAAATACTGATAATGAAAAACCGAACACATATATCCGGAAACCGGGAATTTTGCTGCAGCAGTCACCTCACCCTTGTTATTGGATCGATATGTATAAATATGTTTTAATAAATATAATATTTTACTTTTCTTGCCAAAATATTTTTGTAATTCATTAGACTTAATCTAAATGTCTTTATCAAACCGTAATTTAAACAAAACTTTTCGAAAAATATCTCTTAATATTAATGTTTAAGTTTTGAAAAAAGCCTACTTTTTTTAGCAGCCAAGCAGAAAGTCGGTCTTATTTTTCTTCCATAAGTCAATGGTCTTCCTGTCATGGCCAATTTACTAGTATAATATTTCAACATGGGCATCTAATAAGAAGCTCAATTGATTATATTAATACTTATCTCTTCAGATTGGGTATGATAGTGTTGGGCGTTTAAAATAGTCTAGCATAATATATCTATGGGTATCATATAAAAGCTAATAAGGAGATTAATTGCATTGATGATCATAGCTCTTTATCTTCACGATGAGTACAATGGAATTAATAAGTTCCTAGCATAATATATTGAAAAAGATTAATTGTATATATGGATAACGATACCTTTATTAATCAAGGTGAGATGTATAGGCTAAGAAATTCCAACATATTAGTTCAATATTGATTATAAGAGCTAATATATAGATTTACTCATAATATTGTAATTTTTATTCATCATATATCTTTAGGGGCATTCAGACTTTTAAACATGGGTATTATGTGTAATATTCCTAAATTTTTAATTTACCCTATTTTATTAAGCCAAAACCATATTTACAAATCAAAATTCACTTTTTAAATAAGCCCTCACCACTAATTTTTATTTTAGGGAATTGGCAAAGGCTACGACAGCGGAAGGATGAAATTAGTGGGTGCAGAAGCCCTTGGAAACCGGAAGGCGCCAATATTTTTTTTGAAAATTAATAATAGTATTCAAATTCTTAAAATCAATAGTAGGGGAGACTAGCACTAGTTAAACTGATTTTTGCAAAATCAACTATAACTCCTGTGTTTTTTTAGATATTATAAAGAACGATATATGAATTGGCACCTATACTCTATAAAGGTGCCTTATAAAAAAATTTAAGATGCAATCATATTTTAGAAAATTTTATTTTTTGTAAAATTAGACCAACAAGACCCAATAGGGTTAGGCAAACCAATTTAAGGAGCTTCCTAAACCATTAGTTTTTAAGATAACGAATAAAAATGCATTTTTATTTATGGTTATACATATAAAATAATGGATTATTTTCGCACCATATCGAATAATGTAATAAATACGAAAAAGATTTATTCAAATATATGCCTATTGCATTAGATAATATATGGACTTAAATATTCATAAAACCTTCTCAAATTATAAAAGTATTAAAACATATTTTAATAAAAATTTAAATTCTGTCATGCAAAATCTTTTGAATTTTACATCAAAATTTTTTTTGTTGTTGTAGTTGTGACTTTGGGGCAAAAAATAAAATAGGAAGAAATAAAATTAAATACTAATTCCTTTATTAATTACTCTATAAATTAATCAATTATAAATTAACATAAAAGGAAAAAGTAATAAAAAAGAAAAGAAAAATGCGAATAAATAAAAAGTAAAGAAAATTAAGGCGAAAAATAAAAAAAGTTAATAAATCCCAATCGTAAGTAAGAAAAATCTACAATTATCACGCGTTTTCATCTCATTTACATAGACTGAGATCTAAATAATAACTTAATAATTTTAAATAAAACATTATTTTAGTTTGAATATTATCATAATTTGAATAATGCATTTTTTTGTAACGCAATAATACAACATCCTTCCACTTAAGTTAGACCCACCAACTTTCTTTCGATTTCGACTTTCATGGTAAACGATTGTCTCTTGATCTCTGTAGGCAGTTGACGAACTCGCTTAACGCATGCTATCAACGATTCACGATGAATTCTATTCTCTTTTTCAATTATATTCCGCTTTAAATTCTTTTGGTAAATTATCTTAGTCTTTGCTTTTTTCTAACTTTTTCTGGTAACTAATAACGGTAAGCGATTGACGATAATTTGTCTGGAATTTACGATTGTTTCCACAAATTCTTGCCTCTATTATCTTCGACTTTCATATCCTGGACTTTGGCTATATTGGTCACCATTAACGATTGCAGCATTTGACCATTTGTTCTATCTAGTCGCTTGTTTTTAACGTTATCTTATTATTGATTAATTCTTGACATCTAATTTTTGTACATTTATAGATCTTTTATACTTTCAGGTCTTCTACGATAGTTCCTAGATATCGACTTTGTCTTTATTCTCACTTGATTTTTGTCTCAACGTTTTAGATCGCATCTAATCTACTTCTACCTAAAATAATCTATTTAACCCTTTATGACTTCTGAAATATTTTATCACTTTTTCTTACATTTATTCTCAAATTTAAACTACATAGTCTAAATACACCAAATTTATCCTAATGTCTACAGTTATCACCTCTAATCTAATTCTGCCTATTTAATAAATGACGTAAATTATACTAAATCTTAAATTTATAATCCATAGTCAGAATATACTAAATAAATTATATAATTATATCAAATTCTACCACCCTTTACCCTCGATAAAGTCCACCCATTTCTTCATTGAACCATTTGCTTGTAGTTGTACTTTAAATCTAAATTTCTCTTGAAAATATTTAATCTAAAAAATCTAAATATTTTTCCAAAATATAAATATTTTTTTTTTTTTAAATTGCAGCTTTATTTCCTTCTACATTATACACTTTTGGCGCTCACGTCTTTAAAGCAAAATATCATATCTATTTATTTTCTTCCTCTATACCGTTTACATCCTTTGGCAAAAAACTGCTGAAATATATATTTTCGCACACACGTTGTTTAAAATACTAATGAAGTCTAATCATTTAAGTTTTCACACCTACATTGTTGAACAACCACTGAACTCTATCATTATGGCTTTCACACCCACGTTTTTGAACAACAAATGAATTCTAATCAAATTTTAAAACATGTTGTTGAAAAGCGAGGGACATAAAACATGTTTTTCTTTCTGCTATTATTAGAATAATGTTGCATAATTGATCTCAAATCTTATTAATCATCAAAAATAAATATCCGATCTCATGAGCTCGATTGTGGCATAAATTTTCTAATGACAAAAGCCGTTTCTCTTATAAGATTTTTGGTTAATCAATAACCTAATACTATACTACATTTACATATCAGATCCTTGAGGCTGTTGTATCTCTCGCAGCCCTTAAAATAAAAGTTATTCGTAAATCTTCAATAAGACTATTTTGGTCTTTAGATTTGGTCCTTTTCGAATTTGTGCACATCAACTATTTTCTAACAATAAATGTATATTCGTCTTAGTCTCAATTCTTATTACCGAATTTTTTAAATTATCATATTTTAGGAAACTATTTGTTTAATTTTTTAATCTTCGCAATTTATGTTTCTTTTTCTTAGTCATAGTTATCTCTAATGATCAATTATTTAATCTTATGATAATTCTAAAATCTAAAAATCATAGTCTCAGTTAGCTTCTTTTAGATTCAATTGGTTTTTAGTTTATCAGTAACTTCTAATTATAAAATTCATAAATTATCACCTTTAAATAACTATAACACAAAATTCTTTATATCTTATCTATTATGAATGCTACCTTTATAATTCTTTGTTTTTCATTTGAATATACCTACACAAATTTGTATCATAATCTTATCAATATTTACAAAAATTAGTTTGAAATTTAAATGAGATATCATAAATTAATTTTTATTTTTCAACCTACGTCTTTAAAATGATTAACGATAAATTTTCTTCTTTTTAAAATACTTATTTCTCTAAATATTTTTCCTACTTTTCTTTAAATATTTTTCTTACGTTTTTTGGATTTTTTTTTTGCATTAGAATACAGTTTGACACATCTCCTTGACCACTGTATCCATTGATTTTTATCAGACTGAATAAGAGAACCTGTCTTTTTTATACCTGATATAAGTATAAGTGTCTGTATAGAAAGAAATAAAATAAATACTTTTATTAATTTTAATATACAAATAGTTTACATGATATTTTTAATATATATTTTTAAATTATAAATTAACATAAAAGGAATAAGTAACAAAACATAAAAAGAAAAATGCGAAAAAATAAAAGCTAAGAAAATTAAAGCGAAAAATAAAACAAAGTTAATAAATCCTCGTTAAACTCTTTAAGTAAGAAAAATCTACAATTATCACACGTTTTCATCTCATTTACATAGACTGGGATCAAAATAATAACTTAATAATTTTAATAAAACATTATTTTTGTTTGAATATTATCATAATTTGAATAATATGTTTTTGTAACGCAATAATACAACACTTAAATATAATTTTTAATAATTAATTATTTAAAAAAATTTTTGTCTATAGATGCAGACTGATAAAAGCTATATCAAAACAAAATTTAAACATTCTAGTTGTTAATGAGATTAAGTGTTTTCCAAACCCTCTGAGCAATTAAGTGATAAGTTGAACGTTTCATATATTTTTCCAATCGATTAATTTTTTAATCTGATGAACGTTTCAGTTTTATACCAGCAATTAATATTTTTTTCTGGACAATTAAGTTTTTATCTGAGCATTAAGAAATAATTTGAGAATTCAATATTTTTTCTGAGCCTTCAATATTTTTTCTTAAGTATCTATACTGAGATTTTAAGGATTTTTTTTTGAAAATTTCAGTTATAATTCTGAGCGATTAAATAGAAACCTTTTTATATATACAATTATATATATTGAATCAATAAAATTATTTTGTTTATTATCTATTTATATCTAAGTCATATTCCAAGTATTTAGTTAAATCATGGTTATTTTGTGCACACGTAATCTATTAGCTCGGAGCAAAATACATTTTTATAAAATTTTGTAGCTTATTAAAATATATTTCCATAGTATTTTGCTTAACTCTGTCTGCAGACCTCTGATAATAACCTATTGTTTTATATTTATCATGCGCCCTATTTAGACCATCTTTATTTATATCAAATTTTAATTATTAGCTCCTTTC